TCCCTTATATTTAAGTCATAGTACTATTCTGGTTCAGTACTGGCAATGCCAGGATTCTGCCACTAACTCGACGACGTGTTAGGCAGACCTCAGAAGTTTCAACTGTTCAAACGCGGTCATGAGCAGCTCCAAAGATTTTGCAACCATCAGCTAAGTGATAAACAAATCGTGACTAAATGGGTCGAGCGTCTTTACGTAGATTCAAGGCTTGCATTGTTTGATTACTAGAGCTACTATGTGATAGTCAAGCCTCTCTTCCAACAGGGGCCGCAGGGAAATAAAAATAAAAAAAATAAAAGAGTGTGTCGGTATCGCTACCGATTCCTCGCCTCTCCGAGGCAGTACCACTCCAGTCCGTGAACCAACACATCTGCCAGGCTCTTCTTTTTGGATTGTCTGCTACAGCTCGACTTTGGCGCTCATGAGCCAGATTCAGTCAATGGCTTGGCACGCTTCTCGTACAATGAAGAGTCGTACGTCACGTTCGTGTGCTTTGTCTGAATATGCGTCTTCATGTTCGAATAGTGCATGCCGTTCGTGTAATTGCAAAGCTTACAAGCCAGCACGTACTGCTTCTTAGAACTTTCTTTGTGCCGGTCCTGGCGCGCTCTGTTCATGGCTGCCGACATTGCAGGTCTGGGATCATCGAGCTCCTCTTCCACGTCGGCGTCCTCGTCGACGACCTTCCAGATCGGCAGATCGTCGTCCCATTCCGCTTCCGGGTGCTTGTTCTCGAAATGGCGCCTCAGCGATGGGAGCGCCGTGTAGTGGCAGCCGCACTGCTTTTCCGAGTCCGGATCGATGTAATAGCAGTGGACACGCGGCTTGGTGGTACCCGCGGGCTTGGCACCAGTGCGTTTCTGACGGGGGATTGACGTGAGATCGATTGCAGGCTCAGGTCCTCATGGCACGAGGCCATTGGTGCCAGTATAGTTGACGAAGGCATCATACCTCACAATGTCCAACCTGGCGAAGGAGCAGGCCGCATTCCAGACCAGGTCGTTGTAGGCCGCGCGGAGGTAATCGTCGGTTTTGATCATATACTGGCTGTGAAATGCCAGGAAGACCAGTTTCTTCACCGCACCAGACGAGCCCCTAATCATATAGTAAGCCGTCGACTGGTGGTAAATATGCAGGGGCAATTTGACATTGCAGCCGCCCGCCGAAACTTTGAACTGCACTTGCTGGATCCAGTCGCCCTGTTCGAGATCCACGAGACTTTTCCACGTTGTGCAGTTCTCTTTGCCCACGAAGATAATGGCTCTGGAGTGGCTAAGCAACTCTTTGTTGAACCTGTGACATCTCTCCTGAATTTGGCTCCAGTTGGAGTACTCGGATTGCCACGGGACGCCCCCTTTCTTGTCGAACACGAAGTCATGTCTGATAGGGATCCTATCTTGTGTCCGGACACGATCGTTGTCACCGAGCTTATCGTCCTGGAGTCTGATCGAAGGGTTGGTCCTATCATGGACGTGCCCGTACTTTGGGTGCGAGGCTTTGAAGGTGGGATATACCCAGAAGCACGTCAAGGGAGCGCCCAGCGGCCCGGAAGGCTTGACCAGATATTCGCGGTCGACCTTGTTTTCACCGAGACGGACCAGGTCATCCACTAGAGACTCCCAAATGGAGTCAATGTCTCTATCGTGAGAACACCAGCGAGGGTCTCGCCGCTGCAGGAAATTGGCGATAGGCTCCAGTGCCTTCCCAAGTACCCTGGCCTCGGTATCCTGCTGCACTTTCTGGCGGAAGTTTTGAAGTGCGGCCCTCGAATCATTTGCGAGAACACTGATTTCCATGAGAAGTTCATGGGCCTGAAGATTGGTGCCGATGCTGGTCAGCCCAAGACCACCGAGGACCCGCCGGATCTGGCTCGACTCTGTGGCCGTAACGGGGGGCGCAGAAAGACCACAAAGCATGTGAGGAGGCTGCCCAGGCTCGTCCTCGCCGTCACCGTCGTTCTCAGATACTTAGGCGGCGGCACCGGCGTCCTCGGTTTCGCTGTCTGGGGCCGCGACTGGGGTCTTGGACTTGGACTCGGGCTCGGGCTCAGAGTCAGAGTCATCCTTTCCTCCCACAAGTTGTCAGAAACCAGTGGAAGATAAAGGCACTACGTGAACAACTCTGCTTACATCAACGACAAAGAACTTCCTCTTGGCCATCCTGGCCCTTGGGGCGGGCAAAGGTAGGATCTTGTCTGGGCGGTTCTTGGTGGGGGCAGATGCAGGCATGATGGGAAAAGACAGTATTTATGGGATTTCGGGCGAAGTATTTTCGCGTATTGCTGATTTTGAACAATTGATGTACTGCTTTTGGTGAAGGGCTCAATTCGAACCAAGTTTCTCTGACATCTTTTGCAGAACTTGAAGGTCAGGCAGCCCTCCTGGCTGGTGACGACAGTTCCTTCCTGGAAGGAAAGGCATGGCAGTGTTCAAGGTGCACCGGGACGACAACTTCCCGATCGGGAAACCGTTCTGGACCAGCATGGCCACATCTGTACTAAAGCAGGAAAATACCCACTCGCCCTCTATGAGAGTGTCGCACGTGGGAAATACCCCTTTGCCAGATCCAACAGCACCTATGCTGGTGGAGTGGAAAGCATTTGCACAAGCATGGCGTGCACCTCATACTGGAAGGGGGCATTCCAATGGCGATAGAGGTTTGTGAACACTTTGGAATCTATGTAATACTGACCCGCTGTTTCAAAAATCAGTCGATGTGTTGAGTGCCGCTCAATGTTCAAATAGATCGTGATGTCGTTGATTCGCAACCAAGGCTGCGACAAATCGCGACCGTCCCCACAGCAATGTATCATTTTGATTTACAGTATGAGCCAGACTTTTCGCCTTTTTTTTTTTTTTTTTTTTTTTTTTTTTTTTTTTTTTAGGTTTTTACCAGTAATCCATATCATTCTATATCATCATTTTATTACGGTTCAAGGAACTGAGCACGGCTACTTAGAAGGGCTGATGAGCGAAATCCGGAATATTCCGGACCAGCCAGCTCCCCCAAAGAAAAAGAAAACAATGAATTTATACTGAGCGTGATTTTCGCGCTCTTGAATTGGGAATCAACCGAAATCTTCCAATTTGGATCTCCAGCACTCAAATCATGTTCAAATAAACGACCTCGGGATCATGTGTTGCTGCTATCTGATGGCTTGCCCGCCCATGGGAAGTAGGTGCTTTGCTTCAATAAGCAACCAAACACATGCGTGCATACTAAGAGGGTGTACGCTAAACTGACGAATGAAATCTCTAGGTCCGTCTCTTATTATAGGGTCGTCTTTGTCGAGTACGTCTCTCGCGGAACCGATGTTGGTATGGAGCTTGCTCACGGTGATTCATATTTCACTAGCTTTCGAAAACCCACCGCCACCACCCTCTTTTCCGATGCATTACAGTCACAGCTGTCTTTTATAATCACTTTGCTGAACAATTTCAATCATCTTTAGGGTTCTTTGGGCTTGCGGTGATCAGAACCAGATGAGTGCCATGATCTGTGTCCACGTAGGAAACAGCTTTGCCAACCCATGAATAACAAGACTGCCTATTGGACACAAAGCTTGATCGAAGTTTAAATGCCAACCATGAAATGCGTACAATCTATATATTTCCTCCAATAATCAACTTCTCCTAATGAGCCGGGATGTCTGGAAAATGGTACCTTTGGCTGTGTGGGGACGGCAAACGTCCCACTCTTTTCGCTACGCCGACGTTTTCTGTCACGACAAACAACAGATATTTTTATACGCTATCAGGTACGAGGGCCTTGTGGACATGGATATGAACCCCTATTCATGCCCACTGCGTAACTCGACCAAGAGATCTTCACGACAAGACTGGGAAGAATCCACTGGAGCATGCAGATTTCCCGGTCCTGTCAGGAGACCAGAAATGTAGCGCCTTAGAGTACGACAGGTGTGATGTTCCATTTACCATTTCAAACTTCGCATAATTGTAGTGAGGTTTTTCGTACAAGCCTTCGGACAGTGATTTTCCAATCTACTATATCTACCAACAAGTCTTCTTTCGAAAGCCACCATTTTGCACCACAAGTCTTAGCGCTGCGCTGTACCTATTTGTGCTAGTGCTAACGACCCGCCTAGGCCTTGGGCTAGGAGAGATCGGGGTTGGAATAGATCAGGTCGAGGAAATCAGCAGACCCGTCGAGACTGAGGTCTGGGTCGAGTTCAGAGTAGGCGTCGTAGTTGATGAAGCTGAGCTCGGACATGGAGACACCGTCGTTGGGACTGGTGGGCGGCATGACCAGCGAGAAATGCGGTGCAGCTAAGGTTGAAGTTATTGTGAGATACAAGCTCTAGTCTGACGCCTTCAAGCACTATATGAACATTAATTTGCTATTATGTCAGTCCTGAATGACAAAAGAGGGCCCAAATGCATCAAGATAAAAGCTGACATGTCCCAGACTGTATACTTGTGCAACGTTGGCACTAGATCTGCTCTGCTCTGCAAACACATCACCATCTGAGACGCCAAGCAGCTACCACATTCTTGTCCCTCAATACCCCTCGAAAGTGATCATCTAGCCTGTCGAGCTCATCTGACATATTGAGGTCAATTACTCTGACTCTAAATCCCGCGACAAGATAGCCCTCCAAGAAGACACCATATACGCTTCCACCTCATCCAAAGGTCAAGACCATGCATAGATTTGTTGAATTTAACCTTGCCAAGGTCGGCATTCAGAGCTCTAAAGCATGGTGACACATAGTCAGTCCTTGGAAGCCATTGTTGCCGCAGAAGCCACAATAGCCCTATCAATATCTTTTTTTTTATCAACTCCAACATCAACTACATTCACCTAGCAAATTTCAAATATAATCATTACAACTTATGTAAACTAATACAAGCTGCAAGAATAGTAGAACTGAGTATAGGAAGAACCGGAGCTAAAAAGAATTTATCTTTTTCCTTTAAGCCTTTAAGACAATTTATAAAAATTGTAAAAAAATCCCACAACTCAAAAAAAAAATTGCTGTAAACCCCACGCGGGGCTCGAACCCGCAACCTTCAGATTTACATCTTCGTAGAACTGCTCGTGGATTAGTAAATGCGGGAAGTATAGCGGTTATGCGGTGCAACTTACGTCTGACGCGCTACCATTGCGCCAGTGGGGCGATGATCCATCTGTTTTTTTACGCACCAATATCGCTCACTCTCCCAGGTTGGGCACGTCCGAATCCAATCAGAACTCCCCCCTCAACTTGAGAAAAATGACTAATTATTGTAGAGTCTCATTTGTTATAATTTATTAACCATAATGTTTTTTATAAATAAGATTTATTTATTTATTTATTATTATAGTTATCTTTTATTACTACTAAATATAGACGTAATATACTAACCTTAATAAATAAGACAAATCTTTATTCTTTACTTTAAAAGGCGCTGTGAAATATTTTATCTGTTGGCACTGTAAGACGTAAAAAAAAAGAAATTGTCACAAATCTAAAGTTTCTGTTGCTACCTCTTAGCCTAGTGCAGGTCGCCGTGCTAGCCCCTCGGCGCTGGTCTCGAGCACTAGCCAGGACAACCTAATGTGTTGTACATTACGTTGCAACTAGCCTTTGGCCTTTTGCACTTGAGTCTTAAGTTACTATAGATATATATAAGTAGGTTATTGAAGTTTTAGGATGAGACTGTTGTAAGCTTGAAGTTATCGTCTGCTTCTGCTAGATGGTACTTGACTGAGTTATTCCTTTTATCGGCCCAAGTAAATAGTAGATAGGTCTTACTCGATAAATCGTTCTCTCTACCTGTACCACGTATCAGTCTACCTATTGAGAATCTATATTATAGAGCTGCCGTTGATAACGCAGGCAAATTCTTTAATAACGCATAGGGATCCTCACAAGAGCTGGGGAAAAAAGAACTGCTGTCATGTTGAGAATCTCCTTTGGCTATTCTACCAAATTCTTCACCACATTCTTCCCCTCTAGATATAATCTATACTCTCAGAAGTGGGGCTAAACCTTGTGGTGTGTGTAGTGCCAAATGACGGCTTCTGACATAATACTAGTTTGCAGAAGTAGGTTGAATGATCTCCGGAATAAGCTCCCTTGAAACAACCTCACATGGGATAACCTTCTGTAAAATGACGTCTGATGGTAATCTCCCATACATAATCTCTAGAAAACCAGGAAGGTATCCCAAAGAGTGTTGTCCTACAGGAGGTTACCCGAATATTAATATGGCTATTGTGGCGGCTGACGGCAACGATCGCTTCCAAGGACTCCCTGCCCCCATGTTTCAGAACTGTGAATGCGAATCAAGGTAATGTCACGTTGGCCATACCTATGCACCATCTCATCCTTTGGAGGAAGTGGCCGAACGCATGGCGTCCTCATGGAGGAGCATCTTGTCACGGTATATCCAGAGACAAAGCAGCTGATCTCATATATCACATGAGCTGAGGTCGGCGCTACCATCTCTCTGAAGGGGGCATGTTGAAGGGATCAAATCTTAGGGTCAAGACTTAAATAATGTAGCCAGATGCAGTGGACCTTGGCGCGGTGCATTCAAGATACGGGATGACACGAAGCTTGACACCCGCTAGCAACTCAAGTGAGCCGGCTAAAAAGACCAGAATGCCCAATCGTCGGATTGGCTATGCCTAGCAGTACATAAGTGCCGTACTGTCACACATTAGTCCAATACCAGTCCTTTTCGAGTGATGCGCAACCATGGCAATACCACTAGGCTTCCATTTTTCTGACTCGAGTATTTTGGGGTATCTCGACTACGGTGAGCAGCCCAATTACGACCCCCGAGAATGATCTTTTGGGTTCTTACCGGCCGGAACCTGATTCTCGAGTGTGGTGCAGATGCCTTGGAGCTATGGCAATACCGGCCAGTACATCAGACGCGTGGTTCGCACGGGGCAGACACAACCAGGGAAGTTCATTATCCTCATGGTCAACGACTCGGCGCACAACTACATGGAATACGAGGTTCGCTCGGGTGTCCGCTACGCGGCCAGAATATCTACCTAGGTAGGTATTTTGTGAAACACCTGGGCGACAACCATCTGTAGGATGACCTCCTGTGCAATACCCTACTATGGGATAACCTGTGGGATAGTCTCTTGTGGGATAATCTCCTGTGGGATAACCTCTTGTAGTATATCGTCCTATGGGTGACCGGTGAGAAGGTACGGAAGCCACTGGAGCTCCACAATATACGTTTGAACGTTTTGTTTACGTGGCTGTGTTGCTGCGATACTGCATGTGGCAATCCCAATCAGGAAGAGGTCTAGTCGCTCATGACAATACTGCAATGCCCGGACTGGTTCGAATAATCTAGGATTGCCTGCAAGTTAGTAGTACACGAGATGCACTGTGCCATCTGGGCCCAGCCATTCTACCGGGTGGCTTAGGAGGAGAGGTATGTGAAGGAGATCCAGGATATCACGTCTGTATCTACGCGGAAGGCAGCCGAATGTTATTACCTCCTCGCCCGGCTGTTTCTTCGGACCTCGGAGACCCCTGATGACTGCTAGGAGGTGTTAGAGAAGGTGAACAAGTATAAATTGGTGCTCGCTAAAATGTGGGCGGTGGTCGACGGTGCTGATGGCATCTCCATTGAGCTGACTTGGGAGAGGCTCAGAGTCATGTTCCAAGAAGTCGCCGAGGACCCGGAATACCAGAAGCAGGTAGAGGCTAAATAACCCGAGTTCGAGTTTGGTACTCAGTAGAAGCGCAACAAGTGGACTGTATCTGGTGATCATGGCCGCTGCGCCAAAAAAGGACAAGCGGAAGCGTGGTTCCGATGGTGAGGAAGAGCCTGATGGAACGCCATCAGACCGCCCAAGACGTCGCAAGATCGGGCCTAAGTCGGCAGCATAGCTGACGTCCGCTGAAATGGAGGGCGACATGGAGGGCGACGACGACAGTGGCGACGGCGACAATGATGGCAGCGTTCTGCCCCCTCCTACTGCGCCATACAAACCCGAATAGCAGACTCGAGTCGCGCTGGAAAAGCTCAGACGGAGTGAAAAACTTGACAAGGAGCTCGGCCTGTAGCAATGACAAGGGATGCCCCTAAGCTCAACCCCGACGACGATGTTGACGAGTGATCCGGGCTTGCGATTGGGTGTGGGGGGTTCAGGCGAACTGGCACCAATGGGTGCCAGCAATGTATTAAATCAAAATTCTCGACTCTATCGCGCCGAATGGTGCAAATAAAGTTCCATGTGCACCCATAATGAGCGTTGGAACAATTTCAGTAGGGCCCCGCTGCATCACAGCGGAATGGTCTCGGCAAGGATATGAAGAGCATGCCTAGATACCTGAATACGATACCAATGGTCTGTTGCGATTTCATGAACACCCGCAAAGCAGTGCTTGACAAGTAACTAATTTTAGACCGCGGTGACCATGAAACCACTCTTGCAGACCGATTATACAGTCCTAGGCAAGACACTTTGCATCGTGAATTGGCCGTTCTGGTGTGTCAGGGAATATGACCTCCCCAACAACCTCCCCAACATAATGATTCCTGCACAGGTCGAAATGAAGGGTCTGGTGGAAGAATCGTTCCCTCTCAGCAGTAAGACTAAGCTTTGTTCATATCATCTCCGAGTCCCAATTATCGAAGTCTGTGGTAAATACTATACTCTTATTTACCTTACGTGCCTCTACGTGTTTGAAAGAATTGTTGATTTTTTTCAGGGTTTGAAGAAGTTGTTTCAAAACTGAAACAGACAAAATTAATTCGTTCGCTCTAAGCTGTTTCTAATTTCACAAAATTATGCATATGGCCTGTACAAGGTATGTAGATAATAATTTCAAATTTAGAAACTCATTGTACGTGGCACTGGCGATGCAATGAGATATACTGATATTTATGACTCTTGTGGCTGCTGACGGACACGATTTCTCTCAAGGCCTCCTCGCTCTCTGAATGCAAATGACCTTTGGGGGGGGGGGGGGTAAAATGGTTCATCGCGTCCTCTTGGAGTATCGGAGGAGCATATTGCCATCGGACAAGATCCAGAGAAAATAGAAAATTGACTTCAATACGCCAACGGACATCGATTCGGTGCTACGTTCTACCTCGAAGGGATGTATTGAAGGGATCGTATGATCATGGTCTAAATAGTTGGGCCAGATGGTGTAGGCGCTAGCACCTTGATTACAGGACTAAGATACGTGACACATCAGAGGTCTTTATGGGTGGTCTACTACATCCTTGAAGATTCTGGCAGGGGCGGGAAATGTATTTCGACCAAATGTCTTCTAGGATGGAGATGACCAGGTCGATGGCGGAGGAGACGGTACGACTGGCACGGGAGGACTGTCACAAAGAGGATGCGTGTCACTTTTTAGACCCTGAATGTTTTGAAGCGGGAGATTTTTATAAGTTCCCTGGCTGAAGATACACTCCACCTACGAGGAAACCCAGGTCGTTTTGACCTAGATTGCTTTCGAGGTTTCCTTCCAGTAACAGCGTACTTGGTTGTGGCCAAAAAAGCCCCCTCCCGGGTTTCTTCCACCGCCAGAGGTATCAGTCTTTTCAAATCGGCCGCCATCTGCTCATTCTGGGTCTTTATTGCTAGCAATTCGTGCATGTATAAGCCGCACTCATGCATCGAGTACGCCCAATGTGGCGGGGTGGTGTGCGCGTTAGCATCGACGCCTCATATACCACAATCCGAGAATATCTTGGGAAGATCCGGCACCCACTTGGGGTTCAACCATGGATCTTTGGACTTCAAGAGGGTCATGGGCTGTTCGATGCTTGTTTTCTTGTTCTCCGGTTTCGTCAGTTCTCCGTGGACGGTCTGGCTGTCAGGCTCTACCCATTGCAGAAAGCCACCGGGTTCTGTGATAGGTGAATTTCAGAACAGTCAGTAAACGTAGAATTCAAACGAGTGCAATGGGACCTGCCAAATAATTCTGCAACGCACTAAGTATCTGGATGAATTTGTCTACCACGAGCGGGACCTCCTCCTACAGGTCTCTGCTCGGGACTTTTTCATTTCTTCCAGTGACTGAAGTGTGGCTGTAACTTCGATCGAGTGGTTCTGGCTTCTTCTTGAATCGACTGCACGTGGAACTAGAAACTAGGATGGTATCTTTAATTGGCCTCAGAGCCATTTTGCTGTGTGCATAGGATT